TTCCGGGTCTTTCTAAGTCCTCTGCAGGAGGAGGAAGCAGACCAGTGAAGTTTCACTGTGGCTGAACTGAAATCCTGAAACGTTTCGGCTCTTTTCTGTTTCATGACCGGAGCTCAGAAAGCAGCCGTGGCTGCAGGTTACCGTGGTAACAGGGCTCAACAGAGACGGTTGCCCTGATTGGCCGTTTCCTGGGTCACCCAGAACGTCTCTGTGAAGCAGCTCAGGCCTCTGATGTCACCGCTGCAGAGCTTTCTGGACATGAAATCATCTGATGATTCTCCTCCGTTTTCCTGGAGGGTGGAGGCGGATCTTCTCCTCGCTGCAGACGCAGCATCTAAGCAGAGTTTCCATCATTTTCAGCTTTGGGTCATAAAAGTCATGAACATCAGCAGAGTTCTGGTGAAGCCAGATGGCCTTCAAATGAGGACGTTCCAACTCTTCTTCTGTTGATGTTGCAGAGAGCCTGAGGAGGCACCTGTCCGCTGCAGCTCCTGCCATGGTCAGACAGGCCTTCCAGGTGATGAAGGTGAGTCCTCCACATCCAGGCTGCCTCCATGCTGCAGCAGCAGCTCCTTCATGGTCTCCTTCTGTCCCTGCAGTCCATCAACACTCTGCAGAAGCAGGCTGAAGGTCTCTGCCAGGTCCTCAACATGAAGCCCAGCTCCACCTCCCTGCAGATCAACGGGGAGGTTCTGGGCTCCTCCTGCCAGGCCGGCGCTCCGCCTCCAGCAGGAGGCGCCATGAGGAGCAGGCGGCCCCTGAAGAGGGCCATGAGGGAAGCTGCGGTGGCTGAGGGCTACTGGCCCAGAACCACAGAACCAGAAGGCAGCGTGGGAGAAAATGAAGCGGAGGAACGCTTCCTGTCCTGAAGGCCACAGAACCACAGCCAGCAGGGGGCGCTGCAGGCAGACTGAACCCAGCAGAGACCTTTAGTTGATGGACAGGAGGAAGGTTTCTATGAGCTCCTCTGGTTCCTCCTCGCAGGTTCTGGTTCAGGTCTGCTGGGATCCTCCTCCTCTGTGGACAGATCCTCCTCTCCAGGGATCAGAACAGCTGCAGTCAGAGGAAAGGAGGTGAAATCAAACTGTTTTCAGAATTATTGTTGGACGAGATTCAATTTTAATGGTTTTAATTTATGGCTCAGTTTTAGTTTTCTCTGGTTTAGGCCAATATCCCATATTATTTCTTTTACCCACAATCCTTTGCTGTATTACTCTCACATGACCCCCCCCTGTAATAAACATGTATTGTTACCATGGGCTCAGTTCTGATTGGACCGACCGTCTCAGGATGAAGAAAACATCCGTTCTGTCAGACGGATTCAGAGTTAGCATAATGCTACGACCGCTACATTGAAGCAGCTGCTTTACAGGCAAAGTCTGGTTCCATCCTCATTAGAGCCTCATTTAGCATTATTAGAGCCTCATTAGAGCCTCATTTAGCCGGGCTTACACGGTACCATTTTTTGCCCTTTTTAGGCCAACTTTCCAGTAATGAGATCATTTTCACATCAGGCCGACTTTCAGCCTGATGAT